AGAAAGGGCTGTGTACATGGCTGTACATTTGGAAGAATAAAATAGTGATGCAAGGCTGTGTGTGTAACTGTATGAGCCCATGTATCTGGCACTGTGTGTATACTTTATTTTTCAATATATATTTTATTTATTATTTTATTTTTAGGGGAGGTAATTAGGTTTATTTATTTTCAGAGGTGGTTCTGGGGATTGAACCCAGGACCTCATGCCTGCTAAGCATGTGCTCTACCACTTGAGCTATACACTCACCCTGGAATTGGGTCTGCTTAAAACTAACCTCACTGGCAAGAAAGTAAAGTTTGTGTAGCATATCTGGGCCTTTCCTTTCTTACAGAATCACAGAATGTTAGATATCGAAGGGACCTTAGAGCTCATGTGGAAATTGAGGCTTGGGGAGTTTTAAGTGACTTGCCCAAGGTCACACTGTGTGCGAATAGCCTAGTACATTTAGGCACCATATTAGGTAGCTAGGGCTGCCATAACAAAGTACCGCAGACCAGGTGGCTGAAACAGCAGAGCTTTATTTTTTTACAGTTCTGGAGGCTAGAAGTCCAAGACCAAGGTGTTGGCAGTGTTGATTTCTGTAGAGGCCGCCCTCCGTGGCTTGTAGATGGTCTTTCGCACATGGTCTTGGCTTCACACGGTCTTTCTGTGTCTGTCTGTGTCCTAATCTCTTCTTCTTAGGACACCGGTCATGTTGGATCAGCGCCCACCACTCTGTCCTTGTTTCACCTTAATTACCTCTATAAAGGCCCTCTATCTGAATACAGTCACAATTTCCAGTACTGGGGGGTTAAGACTTCAACATATGAATTTGACGGGACATGATTCAGCCTGTAGCAGACACCAAGGATCTGGTCCCCCAGTCCAGTGATATTGTACCCACATCAGTGATCTGGTGGATTTTGTTCCTAAATTGGTTCAGTTTCATTTTGTTTCTTAAAGATGGGGGAGTTGTTGTTTGGGACCAACATGAGATTAAAGAATGTTTTCTGGAGTCAAGGCCCAGTGGGAACCTGAGTGAGCATTGCCTAAGGAATCTAGGATTAGACAGACCACCCAACACTGGGAAAAGGAAGCTTCTAAACAGAATCTTTGGACCAGAAGGAACCTTGTGAGGTTAACTTGACCATGTCAAGGGGGTGAAAACTTATCTGATGTATCCGGAGGACATAGGTGTCTGACAACTTTCACGGCTGACAAATTCTTTTGTATGTATAATCAGCATTCCTCATGCTAAGCTCTACCCTCTTCCCTTGCCTCCAATCCTCAGAATTGGACAATAAGAGAGGTTTTCCTTTTTTTCCTTTGAAGCTTGAGCAAGGCTTGACAACTTATTGAGGAAAATTTTCTATTCAGGACAGCCTCTTTCTCTCCTCAACTGAGGCTGGAGGGAGGATGTTAGAGGTGGGGAAAATGCTTACCCCTTTGCAAAAATGCCCTGAGACCTGCAGCCTCTTTCCAGGTCTGGGCCAGCTGTAGGGAATGTCTTGAGTTGAGCTTACTCATAATATGGAACAGAAACAGGGTCTTCCCCTGTTTATTTGAGAGGCTCTCTGATTTCACAGAAATCACAAATGGGCTCCAGTGGGATTGTGGTGCATGGTGTGGGTATGATAAAGCATGTGCCAAAAAGTGGCCACAGCCAGGCAAGGGGATCCATATTATCATGATGGTTGGTGCCTATGTTCTCTGCCCTGGAAAGCAAGCTTGGTCCTGGGTTTTGGAGGAAGCAATTCCAAAAGTATCTAGCTGAAATGCAGAGAGAGCCAGATGCAGAGTAGTGTTGGGAAGAATACTGGTTTGGAGATCAGAATGCCTGGGTTCTAGCCTCTGTCTGAGCCTCAGTTTCCCTTCATTTACAATGAAGTGGTTCAATCAGGTTATCTCTAAGATCTTTCCAGCTCTGAGACTGTAAGCAAAGACTAGAGGATGCTGGGGGGCAGAGAAGGAATACTCCTTGTAGCAAATCAAATGATGGACTATGTGTCTCTGTGAACCAAACCAGGCACAGAAAACTCTCCATCTTCATTCCAGAGTTGGTGGGGGTTGGGGGAGTAAGGATGTTAGCTGTGGTGTCTCCTCATTTGACAACTCAACCTTTCCCGCAGGGCCCCTGCAGACACACCATGGGGAGCTGTCTCCCTTAAGGACCTTGCCCCTGAGGGGATGGAGGCAAAGACAAGATGGGGCAGGACAATGGGGAGGGTGTCTGCAGGATACCAGCAGCCAGGTAAAAACAGAGAAATCAGCCCACTATCTGCTTAGTTTCAAACATCAGAATAAAGGGATCCAATTTTAAAGCTTTCATCTGAAGATAATGGATAATGAGATGCAGGATCAGCCTTATGCAGTGATGCAGCTTAAAGCCCCTGGGAAGGCTCTGTTTTTCCCCTCCCCAATTATCCCACCACTGAAATGCCTTAAGTTCCACCATTAGAGCACATGGTGTTAAGTGCAGTCTTCTGCACATCACATCCTTTAAAATACAAAAGCACCACTGGGATACTTTATCAAACAAGGCTAGAACCAGAAAAGTAGTGATTAGAGGGGAAGCTCAGGGAGATGAGGGGCTCTGAAGATTAATCTCTAGATACTTCTCAGTTTCATGTTGGCTGAGCCTTGTGAGAAAGCTAGACTCTGCCCGGGGAAGTGGGAACTCAAGGACTGCCCTGGAAACCAGGTGCCTGAGCTATGGGTATATTTCCAGTCTTCGAAAAGGGCTGGACTCTAAGTGGTGAGGCTAGTCATTAGGCTGAAAAATCACAGGGGTTGCCAGTAAAGCTGAATTCAGGGAGATGAAAATTCTGAGTGTTACATGAGCTTGGTTTGGCCAGTAGAGAAGCCAGTGTAGAAGTGTCTCATGGAGTCACCTCTGTATGTCCAGAGGATGCAAAACTATTTTGGAAAAAATTTTTTTTTCATTTCCACGGTTATCTGCTGTTTATTTAACCCAGAAGGCATGATTTGGAACCGTTCAAACCTAGCAGATGGGGAAACACACAGCCAGGGTTCAAACCTGGCTAAGCGACCTTGGGCAGGTGACTTAACCTTTCTGAGATTACACTTCCTCATCAAATTCAGTATAAAGCACCTGGCATATAGTAAACCTCTATAAATGGAAGCTATTATGGTTATGAGTATTGAGGGGGCTTCAGGATACTATCCATGAATTGGAACTGAGTCATGGCGTGAATGATCATTATATCCTGAACAAATCAGAAGCCCAGACCCTGATAATTCACACATAATCCTCACACAGGAATAGAATCCAGTCCTCTTACAACTTAATTTGACCCCTCAAGAACCGGTCATAGAAGAAATAGAAAGAATTCTGGCCCCCTCTAGCAGCATGGAAACCTGAGGTCTCGGGCAAAGATGGCTTTCCCCACAGACAGGATGGGTGGTTGCCTTCAAGATATGGTTTAAGAAAAATATCACTCTCACACAAATCTATACTGGGCCACCTGCCATGGGTCTGAAATTCCATCACTGTAGCTATGTCTTTCCATCTGGGCAATGGCTCCTGGAGACTGCTACCAAAAAGCACATAGTTTCCTGGGAGAATGTACAAGTGAACACATTGGTGAAGGTTTCCTAACCTGACAGTCTGGCTCTTACCCAATGGAGACTGGGCTGGGAGTCAGGACCAAGTAAGTTTTGATAGGACTGGGGATATGGAAAGGCCAGAGGCAGACAGTGGGAAGTGTGAGCAGCAGACAGACACAAGGACTAGAGAAAGAGGAAAAGACACCACATGGGCTAGAGGACCCGCCGAGAATGTCAGCTCTGCCACCTATGGTTTAGAGAGGTAAAAAGTAGATTCAAAGCTAACTTTTCTGGTTCACCTTGATGTTAACTGTACCCAGCCCTTGCACCCTCCAGCCCAGAATGGCTTCTTTCCCGGAGCAGTTGTATACTTGGGCAGACAGGTGGAGGGCTGGTCTCAGTGTCTGGGTAGTCTGAGCAGCAACACCCAGGATCTCAGTGACAGGCCAAGCAGCTCTGTCTCTGACCAAGACTATCATGACATCAGCTTCAGTTTTCCACCCTGGCTTGGGGCCGAGTGATGAGTAACTAGGTTTGTGCTCTGCAGATCCCTGGGACTCCAGGAGGCCTTTTTAGATGGTCCAAGAGTCCACCCAGAATCTGTCATCCAAAAACATATGTCTGGTTTGTGTTTTAATTATAACCTCTGAGAAGGTAGGAATTTATATTTAGAGGTACAAGGAAATGAACATGTTTAAAAGAATCACCACTGTCATGGTTATTCACGCAGGAATAAATATGTGTATGAATATGTATATACACAAATTTATATATATATACACACACACACACACACACACACACATATACACACACACACATACACATATATGTCTTCCTTCCTTCCTTCCTTCCCTCTTTCTTTTCTTTCCAGTTTCAAAAGAGGCTAGCAGATAAGTGGGGCCTGGCATCTCTGAGGTCTGGCCTAAATAATCCGAAAGCCACTGATGTGGATGTTACATTTGCAGGACAGGCCACACTCTTACACTTGATTCAGATGTTTTGGCATCAGGGCAGCACAAACAAGTCCTCTCTCTAACCTGGTCTGCCTCTAAACTCTGTCCAAGGCAGTTTCTGCCCTCCAAAGAGCAATGGGAGAAGTAAGAATTTGGTTCCTCCCACATTATCCTAAATATTGCTGTGATATCAGGGAAGCAATATTAATATCTGCCACTCTCTGGGCCTCAGCTATTTCCTAACAGGGATGGAAAACACTGGGAATGGGAGAGGAGAGTTGGGACTGGGAAGATGTTGGCAAGCAGGTGTGAAAAGCCAGGAGGGGTTCTGTGAACGCTCTATCTCCGAGAGGGTGACTTTGTGGATGGGAGGAGGAGAGGAGCTGAAGGGTAGTAATTAGCTTATTATTGTTTCCCCTGGGTGTTGTGAGAATTCCTTAGGAGACACTTGTAAGAAAGCAGAGGGAAGACAGTAAATACACATCTAATGATATGCTAAATAAATTATTATTGTTATTATTATGACTATTATTATAGCAATTGCAAGTTGCTCCTTGCATCCAAGTTTCCACCAGAGATGGGAATTGGTCCCCTTATAGTCAGGCCTCTGCTGCTGCCAAGATGCCCCCAGACTCCCCCCACCCTCAGGAATTAGTGGAGTAATTGGGCAGTGGAGACCAGGCTTCAGTTAACAGCCACTCTCCCAGTTTCTGCAGGAGAGCAGATAAGAGCTCAGCATAAGCCTGCAGGGCCTCTGCCCGATGTCTGTGCTAGGGAAGGAAAGAAGGAAAAGGGCTTTGCCAAGAATGGCAGGGCTAGCCGGGATCCAGACTCCCAGAGGGGTCACTGCCCAGGAGGAAATAAAGAGAAGTCGTGGTGTTAAAAAAAAAAAAAAAAAAAAAAGAATGGCAGAGCTTACACTTGGGGAGGAAATTCCTGCCTCCCAAACAAGGAGACCAGGGAGAGCCAAAATAAAGGCAGACAACTGGGGATGGGTCAAGAAAGGTAGGGTAAATAAATATACAAACTAGGGCTCCATAGCCCTAGATCCTGGGCTTCCTGGCTCCATTTAATCCCTGCCACTTTCAGCAACACTGTGTCCGTGCGTTCGCTGGAAAGAGAGCGAATTATTTTTATGAGCATCTCAAAGGAGTGTGGGACCCAGAAATAGCTAAGAGCCATTCTAGCCCATGTAAAGGGACCCAAACTCTCTAGGTGAAACAAAGTATGGCCAGTGTCTCTTCATTTCCTGCCTTTTGGCCAAAGACAATTGTTATTTGAAACCCACATGTTCTGAGGTTTACAGTAAACTGCCCCCACCTCCTGGCCAGAGCCCAGACACCTGCTCCGAGTTTTGCTTAAGCAAACGTATGTAAATGCCAGCCCCTCTGCTCTCTCCCTGCATTTCCTCAAGGAAAGCATCCACCATCCCTGTGGGTGTTAGGTGTGTGTGTGGTGGTGGTGGGTTGGGGGAGCTGGGTGTCCAAACCCTGAGTGAACTAGAAATGAGATTCCAGGTTAAACTTAGTCCCCTCTCTGGACCTCAGTCCCTCACCCAGACATTGGGCAGATTGCCTCTAAGTGTCCTTAGGGAAAAAAGGAACCAAATTTGGGAGTGTCCTCCCTGCTCCAAGCCTGAGGGGAAGGGGGACCCTTCCCTGCAGACCTGGATCCTCACTAGATGGGGAAACTCTGAACTTATCTATCTCACCCATTCACTGCCAGCGACCGCCTGTCCCCAGACTCCCAGAAGGAACTATTCTATAGGGACCAAAGCACGGGGAATGATGACAATTAAGAAATAACTATATGAAATGACCTGATTAGGGGGTGTTACTGTATTAGAAAATTTGTGATCTTTTTAAAGTTAAAAAACTTTTTAAACATTAATTGGGATCAGTTTGGTAGCATCCCTGGAGCAGGGCTGAGGCATAGAGGCCTTTCCTCAGCCAGGCAAGCTGCCTCCACTGATTTATGTTTGTTTTATTTGAGTATTTCTTAATGGATCAAGTGGTGGTTCCTCTTTGGGCACCTCAGGCCCACAGGCAGCTCCATCCCAGCCCAAGTCTCATTTCTAGCTTAGTTTTCATATACTTGGGGGTCTGGGGAGCCAGGAGACTGAGGATGGGGAACCTGCTTTGCCCTCACCCCCATTTCTTGGTTCTGGGTACATCACTCCGCCCCCAAGCCCCCCATCTCAGGCTGGGGCTACTCTCTTGCCCTGGTACTAACCATGACCCCACCAGCGCCCACTGCAGGCAGCTGCCATGTGACCCCCAGCTGGCTTCAGCTGGGGTACCCGGATGCCTGCTAGGCTGCGGTGGCTGAGGAGGGTGACTCCCTCCGCCAAAAGCTTTTGGATTGATTGTCTTTAGGTTTGTCTATTGCAACAAGTATGTACTGGGCGACACCTTCTGTGCCAGGCAGCAGAGAGAGTCCCTGCCTTGGAACTCCCATCCAGTGGGCAGTGGTGTGTGGAGGCTGGAGCTTGGCTTTTAACCCCAGCCGAGGGGGTCTCCACGCTCTTCCCAGCATCCTGGATATCCTGGAAGCGCAGCTGGCCTCTGAGACTGAGAACAGAGAAACTCCTTCACACAAACCATTCAGCAAAGATGCCTGTGACTCCCTAGTTTAAAAAAAAGTGAAATGGGGTTGGGGGCATCTTTTTTCCCCTGGGACGGTTGGTGGCAGGAGAACTGTGGCTCCTGGGCTTGGTGGCGCCTGGAAGGGGGCCGGCAGGAGAACCAAGGAGATAAGTAGAAGTGAGGGATAGAGGTTCAGGTCCATGTTCCCTGCTCATTAAAGTCAAATTCTCCCCATAAAGGCCCCAGACAGGGTTGTTAGGGAGCTGGAGGGGCCCCTAGGTATCCAGAGAAGGGGAAACCCCAATTTGGGGAGCCACAGAGGAGTGGCCCAGTGGAGCAGAATTAGGCCTCTGAAGCCCAGGCCTCTGAGAAAGGAGAGGTGAGAAGGTCCTCCCCAAAATCCCATCAGAACAGGCCCACTGCTGGAAAATTCACCTCAATCCACCCGGCTTCCCAGGAGCACAGGAGGCCCAGGTGAAAGCAAGCTGTATTTGGTCACATTACCTCGATTTCCTGGCTGTACCACCAGAGAGCTGTGGCAACAAAAGGGCACCCCACTTCCTGCTCTGTCCCTTCCAAATTTCTTCACCTCTGAAGCCCACTCTTTCAGATCCCAAAATTAGGCTTCAAGGGAAATGCACCAGGGGTGAGAGTGGGGCTAGGCAGTAGCTGAGCTGTAGGGCACTAAAAGTCAAACAGAAGGCCCTTTAAGGCCTGCCCGCTCTCTCCCTCAGTGGAGAGCATTCTCTGGGTTGTACAGTAGTTCACTGCCTCCCCTTCCATAAGACCCAGGCCCTCCCTGCACGAGCCCCTCACAAAACCGGTTTCCACTTTCCTCGGTGGGTGCCGGGCTGTCGTCCTTCCTCCCTGAATGTCTGTGCGGAGCCTCAATCTCCTTCCTTTTGCCTCCTCTCCTTGAGGCTTCCTATGCTCTGTTTACCCTTTTGCAACTCCATCCCTCCGTAAGTAAAGAACTCTGCTAGATGATTTCCTAGATGGCCAGATACAACCTCTCTGTTGGCCCTCTGGAAACATTTCCACGAACAAGTCTCTCCCAGCCCCTGCATATAAATATGCCTGTACAGAGATAGACTGGCCTAAGCCCCAGTACACACACATCATGAGATAATTACATCCTTATATACATACAAAAATCTCTATAGAGTTATATTCACAAGTGTCTATAACTCGAGAGAGATAGCAGCATGTACATATAGGACTATAATTACTTATGTCTATTTTTATAACTATGTAGTTATAAATAGATATGCCTATATATAGTGATAATAATATAGAAATATCTCCGTAGCCATATATGGCTCCAAGTGAATGTTCTAACTACTCTATATCACAATCAATAAGTGTATATCTTCTGATACATAATTCCAACGATATACATTTATCTATATAGCTGCTCAGAGAGATAAATCTGTCAGGATATCAAATGTCCATAAAGCTGGATGGCTATAAGAGAGCCGTATATTTTCCCATATATAAATCTGTTCCTATAACTATTGTATATGCACAAATATAATGAAAATAATCATATTTTCCTCAAGCGTAAATCTGTAAATACAACCACAGCACATTCAGGTATGGTTAGAGATGGAGCAATATTTTCTAGACATCAGTCTGTCAATAGAGCCACCAGTGCCTCTAAACAGAGAGAGTTACAGTGGGAGTTATAAATAAACTCTCCAGATGTGAAGGGATCTGTAGAACTACGTGTAAACACGGCTCTAAACCAGCCTTTCTTCTTTGTGAGATATTCCGTGTGAGAGCACAGTCACACAGGACAGGGCGCAGAGGTGTCTGGGCACTGATAGTTTCCCCCTAAAGAGGTCTGGAGGTCGCTGGATTTGGGGAAACCAGGCGGGAGTTGGTGGGGGGCAGCCCAGAAGCCCCTTCCGTGTCAATCTCCTGGTGGCTGGGAGCTCGGGCAAGTGGAGAGGCCTAGGGGAGAAAAATGAAGCAGAGTCTGGCTTGAGTCACTTTCCCTCATCTTAGGCCCCAAATCCTTGCACCAGGGAAGCCCCGACCGACCGGAGCATCCGAGGCGAGAGAACAGGAGACGCGCGGAGGCTGGGGAGAAGGGGCTACAGGCCCGCCCGCGGAGGCCGAGACCCGGCCGGGTCGTCAGCCCGC